GCACCTGGGAAAATAGGGCATTACTTGATTCTTAGCACAAATGTGCTAGAATTCAACCCATGACAAACAGGTCCACTCAACAACTTCCCATAGACGATAAAAACAGCATAGGCAGATCCAGTGGTAAAGAGGAAAATAAGCCTTCCTCTTACAAGGAACATCCTGAGATTCCAAAGAGATTTGAACCTCAAAAGAGTACTTCATATTCTGGGCACGGTGGCTCATGCCAGTGATCACAGTATTTTGGGAGGCTGAGACAGGTATATTGCTTGAGCTCATGAGTTTGAGACCTGCATGGGCAACATGGTGAAACCCTGTCTATGAAAAACACAAAATACAAAAGTCAGCCAGGCATGGTGGCATAAGCCTGTAGTCCTGGCTACTGGGAAGGCTGAAGTGGGAGGATGGCTTGAGTCTGCAACGTGGAGGTTGCAGTGAGCTGAGACCACATCACTGCACTCTAGCCTGGGCAACAAAGCCAGGCTGTATCTCAAAAAAAAAAATAAAAAACAAAAAATAAAACACATCAGACGTGTATGCATGTACACATATATACACACACACTGCCTTAAAAGTATTATCAAAGATCTTTTTAAAGCTCCTTGGGCCAAAAACAGAATGGCTTCCTTGGCCTGAACCCTGTCTCTCCCTTTCCCTGACATCATAACTCATGCTTTCACCATAGGCAGTTTCCCTCCTGATTCCTTCTCCTTCAGCCTGATGGCACCCTCTAACACCCAACCACCACCCCATCTTTGAAGAACAGCATTATATCCAGTGTTATTCCTCTTTCCAAGATCTACAGTTCCTGAAACTCACTATGAGTGTTCTAGATCCAAATTTATCTAATTTGTTCTGTTCTAGAGAAAAACTATTACATCCATCTTACAGATGAGAAGATTAGGCCAGGCATGCTGGCTCACACCTGTAATTCCAACTCTTTGGGATGCCAAGGCAAGTGGATCATCTGAGGTCAGAGTTCAAGACCAGCCTGGCCAACATGGTGAAACCCCATCTCTACTAAAATTAGCCAGGTGTAATGGCGTATGCCTGTAATCCGAGCTACTCGGGAGGCTGAGGCCTTGAACTCAGGAGATGGAGGTTGCAGTAAGCCGAGACCATGGCACTGCACTGCACTCCAGCCTGGGCGACAAAGCAAAACTCTTGTCTTGGGGGAAAAAAAAAAAATTAAACTTCAGGAGAGGATTAAATAATTCCTCCAAGGTCACACAGCTAGTTTAGCAGAACCACCTTAATATTCCTGCTTCTGACTCTAGAATCCACATTATTTATTTATTTATTTTTTTTTTGAGGCAGTCTTGCTCTGTTGCCAGGCGCCAGGGTGGAGTGCAGTGACGCGACCTCGGCCCACTGCAAACTCCGCCTCCCGGGTTTAAGCAATTCTCCTGCCTCAGCCTCCTGAGTAGCTGGGACTACAGGCACGCGCCACCACACCCAACTAATTTTTTGTATTTTTAGTAGAGATGAAGTTTCACCATGTTGGCCAGGATGGTCTTGATCTCTTAACCTTGTAATCCGCCCACCTAAGCCTCCCAAAGTACTGGGATTACAGGCGTGAGCCACCGCGCCCAGCCTAGAATCCACATTCTCAACCATTATGCTGGAGACAGTTCTTGTCCTTTCCAGGTGTTAAGTTCCCAAATAAATTTTAGAAATAGTTTGCACAGCTCTGGGGTTAAAAAGAAAAAATTGCCATGTATAGGTAATTACTTTAGGAGGAAATAACACTTTGATCATAGTTTTCTAACTCAGAGTTTATAATTAAGCTTAATGAAGCATAGTTGCCCCTGTTAAATAGCTGAATTTTAGAGTGGTGATCATGTCCTGTCCATACTGCAGAAAGTAGTCAACGCAGGCTGGTTTAATGAATAGTCTCTACCCTACCTAAGCCCCTGCTTTGCTAAGTGAACCCATACAAACACCTGTAGGTCTCTGGCATCAGCCATACCACCCACTCTACCGACACTATTCTGAAGGCCCCTGACATACCAGGGTTGACTGTGGCATGACATTAACTTGATACTCGACTTATCTTGATGTACCCCAAAGCATTTGATCAATGTTTCCATTCCCTGTTGATGTATTCTGACCTGAAGTGCTCTCAACAAAATTTCCCAGAGGAAGAGAGCCGACAGTAAAAACGTTGTACAGATTGCTTTGTTCTGGTTACTGCATTCCAAAGGTGATGTATTATTTCCAATCTTAATTAACAAATCCTCCCCAAATCCGTTCAGTCGCAGCTCTCCACATCTCACCTACTGCTGACAAAACAAATCTCTAGTTTCCCCAGATCTCAACTTCATACCCAAAAGACAGCTTGGAATTAGATGTGCTTCTGTCTTTGCTCTCTATCTGCACATTTATCACAGCCACCCACAGTTAGGATACAATGAAATGGCCTGGTGAAAAACACAAGCCTAACTCACTTTTTATATCCCGACACAATGTTCAATTAAATGATTTATAGTCAAAGGCTCAGAAAACCACTGTGAAGACAAGCCAGGAGATGAAGTTACTTAACAAAACGAAGCATCTTTAGCATGGGAATAGGCAGACAAGGTATACTCTAGTCCATAAAACAGAAGGCAGACTAGTACAGCAGGATATCATGGAATAGGAGTCAGAAACCTAATTTTCAGCCCTACCTACATCACCTGCCTCCCTATGATCTTGGAAAAATCACTATTTCCTTAGGTATGAAAATACTTATCTCAACACTTCCACTGGTCTATAAGCCGTCCCCTGCCCATTCCTCTTAACTGTCATAAAAAACCAATACTTGGCCAGGTGAGGCGGCTTACAGAATCCCAGTACTTTGGGAGGCCAAGGCTGGTTTATCACTTGATACTGGGAGTTCAAGACCAGCTTGGCCAACATGGTGAAAGCCTGTCCCTACTAAAAATACAAAAATTAGCTGGGGTTAGTGGCACAGCCCTGTAATCCAGCTACTTCGGAGCCTAAGGCACGAGAACTGCTTGAACCCGGGAGGCAGAAGCTGCAGTGAGCTGACATCATGCCACCGTACTTCAGCCTGGGTGACAAGAGTGAGACTGTCTCAGAAAACAAAAAGCAGTACTTCACTGATTACAAAAACTGAAGTTTTCCATGCCTAATCACGTTCAGATTCTTAAGCAAGGTAACATAGCAGCTTTATAAGACTCCAAATTAGTAATCCAAACATCCATCATATACTCTATTCTACTACCAGGAATTATACAGGAAACTGAAACAGTTTTGTCACTTAACCCAGGTCACCCAACCACTTACGCAGTTTGGCTAAGCTGGTGTTCTTAACCACAGCATTAGACCACCTATTCAATTCCCTATGCTTATGTGAAATCCTGGTTATTCACCCGGAGGTTCCTATGAGAACAGTGTCATTCCTATAAAGCCTGAAAATCCTGACTTGTAACTCCTGGTCCTACCCCTACTGACCCACAGTACCTGCTTCACAGTACAAAATCAGCAGGGGTACCATTCTGTGACACAAATGAGATCCACAGATGACTAGTTACTGCTATGGGTCTAGTAACTGCTTGACCCCATTAAGTATTCTCTTGCAGTAGTGATGTTTCTGCCAGAGGCAATGCAGGAGTACAGGTCAAGGGACACGTGTGCAATGGCCAGTAAAGGGCAAAAAAAAGTGAAAGGTCAGCCCAAATGAAACAAAGGTTTTTACTCTGTCCTAAAGATCAAGTAAACCCACATTCTTTTCAGATTAGATTTGCATCTGCAAAGGATTACTGACTCTGGAACAGATAAAAGACATGCCAATTAGGAGGCCTGAGGAGTCCACACCACAGATGGTTGAGAAGTTAGACAAAATTGGCAGTGAATTAAGTGCATAAATGTTTCAAAGAAAGGCTTAAAATAACTCTTGAATTCCTCCAAGGTACTTTTTTTTTTTTTTTACTACAACCATCTGTCAATCTGAAATCAATCCTACAAATCCTTATATGCAAACTAAAAAATAGGAGAATGGTGGACATTTGCAACATTTAACATGAAATTACTTTCATACTGTTTCCTGAAGATGCTAACACAGTGTAGGTTAAACACCGAAAGTTAATGTTTTAGTATATATTTATCTTTTAGTATATATTTTACCTTCAGAAACTTTTTTTCGGAGACAAGAGTGTAGCCCGGGCAAGTGCAGTGGCACAATTCTGGCTCACTGCGACCTCTGCCTCCTGGATTCGAGCTGTTCTTGTGCCTGAGTGTAGCTGGGATTACAGGCATCCACCACCACACCTGGTTATTTTTTGTATTTTTCCTAGAGATAGGTTTTCGCTATGTTGGCCACACTGGTCTCAACCTCCTGGCCTCAAGTAATCCACCTGCCTCAGCCACCCTAAGTGTTGGGATTTCAGAAATGAGCCGCCACACCCCGCCTAGAAACATTTTTTAAAAATATTTAACTGTAAGGCTGGGCCTGGTGGCTCACACCTGTAATCCCAGGACTTTGGGAGGCCATGGCAGGAAGATCACTTGAGGTCAGGAGTTCAAGACCAGTCTGGCCAATATGGTGAAACCCTATCTCTATTAAAAATGCGAAAATTATCTGGGCGTGATGGTGCGTGCCTGTAATCCCAGCTACTTGGGAGGCTGAGGCAGGAGAATCGCTTGAACCTAAAAGATGGAGGTTGCAGTGAGCCAAGATCAGGACACTGCACTCCAATCTGGGTGACAGAGAAAGACTCCGTCTCAAAATCAAAAAATATTAACCGTAATTTAAAAACTAAAGTTTATACAGTTCGCTCCCATGTATCTCAAACTCAAATGAGCAGGAGCAGACTTATAAAAAGCTAATACACACATCTAACTTGGAGGGCTTATGTTCTTATGCTGCATTTTTTCGACTACTTAAAGAGAGAGACTAAATTAAATTACAACGTTCCATCTCAACATGCTTTTCCAATACAACAGTATTAACACAATGCAAACATCAGAATGTCTAATAAAATTAACAAGTCAAGACGATTTTATTACATAAATTAACCCATTTATTATAGGCCAGTGATGTCTCAAAGAGTAGAGGAGCGTCTACTGGTCTTTCAATTCCTTCAGTCTTCTGATGGCGGACTTTACTGTGACAGCGGAAGTGGTACTGGAAAGAAAGATTCAGTTTCCAACATAATTAAGCATGTTAACATAGAAAACAGCAATTAAGTACATCTGCCTCGTTTTTATGTTAATGTCTTCCCAAATTTTCCTGGAAAGAATTACACTGAGATAGACTGCTCTACCAATACTTTGCTGCAGTCAATCCGAAGATCTAACCAACATTAGATTACTCCCCGGAAATAGTAGCTTCTAAACTACATGACAGCATCCTTTAAAACCATGTCTTCTGAGTCTTGCAGAATTAGACATGCACATTTGATTTCGAGTATTTTGTTTTTAAAAGTAACTCAGTTGCGGACAAGCAAGCTTTAATTCCCCGTCCCCTCCACCCACTAAAAAGAAACGGTTGTTAAGAGGCTGACCTAAACTTGTTAAGATAATGGACAGATTACCAGAAGAAATGAATAGATTACAAGATGGTACAGTGAGAACAATGATTAAAGCAATACAGCAGACACCAAAGTGCCTCTGGAAAAGACAGCTATTGAAATGACTACAAAAGTTTTACCACAAAATTCAGGAACTATACCTCAAACTCACCATCCTCTATGGTGAGTATATAAATGCTAATGCACTTTCCTACCAGAACCAAGAAAGCATTCTAGTTCCCATTTTCCATTCTGTCTTAATAAAACCCCCTACAAGGTGATTTAACATATATTTCAACATTTTCCACTGCTTTGGTTTAAGTTTAAATTGACTAAAATTTTAAAATCCCATTCTTTAATTACACTAACCATGTATGTGCTTAGTGCACAGGTCTAGACGCTACAGGACAAACACTTCACACTTCAGGTCAGCAATGAATTCCAAGACTAGAGATCTTTAAGGGCAGCTTTAATTTCCAGAAATGGATAAAACTTAGGAGTCAAAGTAAGCAATAACCAGCATCGATAATTTTATCTCAGCTGTATCACCTGGCCCTGTCAGGCGATACTGAGTTGCAGATTCACAAACCCGTATGAGTCTAATACTGTTTAGAAGACGAAATTGTAGTGGTCCTGATGGCCTGAAGTTTCCAAATACAGTTTCGAACTAACTGCCCTTTTCATCTATTTTCATCAAAACTTGCAGTGTAAATCAACGTTCAGTACAGATTCAGCCCCACTAACGGACCTGCGCACTATCATGACCATATTCACAACGATGTGCCCGGTAACCAACAAATTCTTAAGTAATATGTGAATCAGATTTCCGACCTCTATTTCAGTTTCGTGTTTAGCCTTTCAATAACTGAAAATAAACCACCACGGAAGAATCCTGAAAATACAAAGGCATCCTTATTCTCTCAGTCCTGAGAAAGTGTTAAAACTAGCCCATCCAGTGACAACCTGGAACTTGGGCCTATGTGGTCCACACACTTCCAAATACAAGGAAATAAGACTCACTTGTACGTCCACGCACCGCCAGCCACTGTCTTCATGCAGGAACCACAGTGCCAGATGCCCACAGCTCGTCTCTTCATCTTGGTCTATAAAAGAGAACCAATTTTCACCATGAAGCAAGTATTTTATCTTGCAAGCATCCAGAAGTCTAAATTTGGATTCACCTTATTGTCAGGGATATGAAAGCCTCACTTCCTCCCTCAAAAACAGAAAGATTGCGGTAATGTCGTGTTGTGCACATAGCAAACGTTCAAACCTTTATCAAACAAAAACCCCTCGCAGAACAAGTAGAATGGTATTAGATGCACAGACTAGACATCTTGGGGGTTAGTACAGAAACATCAGTAGACGAAACCGATGGAATCATTTCCCACAAGCCAGGTTTGGCTTAGGCTGGGGGGGGGTCCTCTGTCAAATGATTATTTTATCCATTAACTTTTGTTTTCTTTCTATGAAAAACGCATCACAAATTCTCAAGTTACCATCAATATTTTTATCCTGAAACTCAGAATGAGTAAGTCGAACTGCTCACCAGCACACGGTTTATAAACTACCCTGAAGTCAGGCCTCACTTGGGAAACTTACCCTCCCTCTCCCCACCCCAGAGACCACCTTACTTTGCCACAGAAAGAGCAAGTGTACTTGGCATGCTGGCTGATTTCAATTTTCTTCACCATTTTCCGGAGGGAGGCCCCATAGCGGGTCCCGTATTTACCGACGATCCCAACCTTCTTGGTACGTTTGGCCTGTTTAGAGTAAAGGGAGAAACCAGTGATATTTAGACCTGGGACCCAGGCAGGCCTCGGCGCCTCCACCCACCGTTCCTCCACTTCACCAATATGTGACCTAGTTTTCCCCAAATTCAACCCAACAAAACCAGTGCCCAAGGCTGGCTGCGCGCTCCCAAGGCCCGGCGTTAACCCTTCCGGGTTGCGCCAGGCCCCGCCAAAGCGCCCCCGCCCCTCCGCTTTGGGCAGCGTCAGAGAGTGTTGTCTCCTGCGAGGGCATGGACACAGGAGAGAACAAAGGACAAGGCAGGAGAGTAGACGGGTGCGGGCAAAGAAATCAAGGACAGATGCAGGCGGATAGAGAGTTAGGCCGCGCAGAGATCCACACTCACCATGTTGCCGGTCCGAGCCCAGAGAGGAAGAGAAGCGGTGCGCAGGCGCGGTATTAGGCTGACGGGCGGAAGTGGCTGGTGGAGGCCTAGCTAGGCACTGAGCTCTATGGTTCGGTCGTTTTCCGGCGGCCTGCTGAGAAATGTTTGCAATTGGAAAGCGTCTCTCACCCAGGTTTACCCAGATTCGCAAACTATGGCTACAAACAACCATAACAGAAGCATGTCCAAATTATTTCACATATATCACAAAATCCTGCAAAGCTACGAGTTCCTCCATTCGATGCACAGCACGTGGCTTAGAGAAGTGCTTAAATCTTAATGTTTGTGGGGCCGGGCGCGGTGGCTCACGTTTGTGATTCTAACACTTGGGAAGGCGGGGCGGGCGGATCGCTGGAGGTCAAGAGTTCGAGACCAGCCTAGCCAGCATGGTAAAACTCCGTCTTTATTCCAAATCTCATTTCTTTCCCCTCTGCATTATACTCCCTAAAAGTGGCAGACCCTGTACAGGATGCTAGCGACAGTGGTGACTAAAATCCAAGGTTTCCACTCCCACAACAAGTTGCAGGCCAGCAGGAAACAATCCTATAGCCAGCCACATTAAGAAGTTAGAAAAAGCTGGGCGCGGTGGCTCACACCTGTAATCCAGCACTTTGGCAGGCCCAGGTGGGCGGATCACGAGGTTGGAAGTTCAAGACCAGTTTGGCCAACATGGTGAAACCCCGTCTCTACTAAAAATACAAAAAATTAGCGGGGCATAATGGCACATGCCTGTAGTCCCAGCTACTCAGGAGGCTGAGGCAGGAGAATCGCTTGAATCCGGGAGGCGGAGGTTGCAGTGAGCCGAGATAGCACCACTGCACTCCAGCCTGGGCAACAGAGCGAGACTCCTCTCCAAAAAAAAAAAAAAAAAAAAAAGAAGAAGTCAAACAATTTCAAACTGATCAGAGCTCTGAAGAAAAAGAGGATGGTTCTGCCGGCTGCTGATTGGGAAGAACCTGGCATTCTCTGAGGCAAGTCAGGAGATTGGAAGGCTGGGGGAAAGTTTTCTGTTCCAGCTGCTCCAGCTGCTCCATCTCAGTGCTGATGGCCTGCCTTCCACTTCATTTCAGAACCCACTCCTATGGCCCCACTCTAGACTGTTAGGCAGCTTCCTGGTCCAGGTCTGAACCCTTAAATTCCAACATCTTACCCTCTACCCACCATCAATTCTCTTTTGGTCCAGGTTTCTCAAAGGGGTCTGCAGGGAAGAATTAGATTTCTGGTTGAGGCCCGGGGCGGGGATGGTGTGTTCTGAGACTATACACATGATCTTTCTTCACATAGAATACACGCACTAGGAAGTTTTGCTGCCTTTTTTCAGGGCATGGCTAATCCAGAGGATAAGAAGCTCAGGGAACTACTGGAATAAGAGGGTAAGAGAGAATCTATGATTTGAGGATCAAGAAAGGCCATAAGAGCTGAACAGCATTGTGGCCCTGATTCCAATCAGAACTCTGGTAACAAGTAACTTCTGTTCCCAAGGCTTAATATTAACGTCTCAAATAATTTTGCACCTGTTCACTTTTCCTCACAATTACATTAAAAGCAACTTGCATACCTGGGCTGAGGTGGGAAGATCACTTGAGCCTGGGAGGTTGAGGCTGCAGGAAGCTGTCATGATGCCACTGCAGTCTAGCCTGGGCAACAGACAGACCCTGTCTCAAAAAAATATATAAATCAAATCAATTAAAAGAAACTTGCAGACAGCTATGCACTTCATATGGTTACAATTGTTGGAAGGTAACACATGGTAGGCACTGAGTATTTTATATGGATGTTCTCATCTACTTTTCATTATCCTTTATGATAGGAATGATTATTATCTTCATTACTAAGAAAAAGAGGCTGGGCATGGTGGTTCGTGCCTGTAATCTCAGCACTTTGGGAGGCTGAGGTGGGCAGATCACGAGGTCAAGAGATCAAGACCATCCTGGCCTGGCCAACATGGTGAAGCCCTGTCTCTACTAAAAATACAAAAATTACCTAGGTGTGGTGGCGTGGCTTATAGTCCCAGCTACTTAGGAGGCTGAGGCAGGAGAATCGCTTGAACCCAGGAGGTGGAGGTTGCAGTGAGCTGAGGTCATGCCACTGCACTCCAGCCTGGTGACAGAGGGTGCGGTGGCTCATGCCTGTAATCCCGGCACTTTGGGAGGCTGAGGCGGGCAGATCACGAGATCAGGGGTTCGAGATCAGCCTGACCAACATGGTGAAACTCCATCTCTACTTAAAAATACAAAAATTAGCCGGGCATGGTGGTGCGCACCTGTAATCCCAGCTACTCAGGAGGATGAGGTAGGAGAATCACTTGAACCTGGGAGGCAGAGGTTGCAGCCAGCTGGAGCACGCCATTGCACTCCAGCCTGGGCAACAGTGAGACGCCATCTCAAAAAAGGGAAAAAAGAAAAAGAGAGGAAGTCTCACGTAATGATTGATTAGGAACTTAGACGCTCTGGAATCAGCCTGGGTTCAAAACAGAGCTCTGCTATTTACCAGCTGTGGGACCTCTGACAAGCTATACTCCTTCCTTCCTTCCTTCCTTCCTTCCTTCCTTCCTTCCTTCCTTCCTTCCTTCCTTCCTTCCTTCCTTTCTTTCTTTCTTTCTTTCCTTCCTTCCTTCTTTCTTTTTTTCCTTCTTTCCTTCTTTCCTTCCTTCTTTCTTTCATTCTCTCTCTCTCCTTCTTTCTTTCTTTCTTTTCTTGGCAGAGTCTCACTTGCAAAGGATTCTTTGAGCCCAGGAGTTCTAGGCAGCCTGGACAATATAGTGAGACCCCATCTCTAAAAAAATAATAAGGCTGTTATGGTGGCACACACCTGTGGTTCTAGCTGCTCAGCTCAGAGGCTGAAACACGAGGATTGCTTGAGCACAGGAATTCACAGGTTACAGTGAGCTAGGATTGTACCATTGCACTCCAACCTGGGCAACAGAGTGAGATCCTGTCTCAAAAAAATAAATAAATAAATAAATAAATAAATAAATAAATAAATAAAAGAAAAAAGAAAGTCAATCTAAGGGAAAGTAAGAACCTTGCTCAGTGTCACACAGCAGTTAGAACTCATATCGGTCTGTCTGACCCCAAAGTTAGTTTTCCTATTTGCTAGCTTGTACTACTCAAAATTATAATATTTAGTGCACTGAAAAAGCACATTAGAAAATGTACTTGCATTAGAATCAGGTCCTTGGCACTTGGTCTGGGCCAGGCTCTGGAACTATCTTGTGGTATGACTTTAGGTAAGCCACAGTCCCCACAAGGAGAACCACCTCCCCACCTCCCAGCAGTCACCATCTTTATTTACAAGGAGCTGGACCAAGCGGTCTCCAAGGTCCTGTCCAGCTCTTCCCTCCTAGGATTCCAGGAAGAGCTTCCAGACTTTGAGTGCTATTGGGGCAGTGACTGAACATGTGTTTTATGTCATCACAGCTTGCACATTTTTGTGGAAAAAAGGTAGTTATTGCTTTATCCTCCCCAATCTGTTATTCCAGATCTGAGTATGTAAATTCAAGGAGGAGAAAAAGCAAAAAGTAGTGGATAATGGAAATAAATTGATTTTTGCATACATTTTTGCATTTTCTAATTATCTTTTGTAATAAGCATGTGTTTCTTTTATAATCTAAAAAAAACTACCATTAAAAAAACCCAGCCAGGTACAGTGGCTCACACCTGTAATCAGCACTTTGGGAGGCTAAGGCGGGTGGATCATGAGCTCAGGAATTTGAGACTATCCTGGCCAAGATGGTGAAACCCTGTCTCTAATAAAAATACAAAAATTAGCCAGGTGCGGTGGTGGGTAACTGTAATCCCAGCTACTTGGGAGGCTGAGGCAGGAGAATTGCTTGAACCAGGAGGCAGAGACTGTTGTAGTGAGCTGAGATCACACCACTGCAATCTAGCCTGGGCAACAGAGCAAGAGTCGGTCTCAAAAAAAAAAAAAAAGATTAAAAACAATGTATTAATCTTGCTTTATTAATTGTAGCAATAGAGAAAATTGGGTAAGAGTATACAAAACTACTCTCTCTTCAATTTTTTATATAACTCTAAAACTGCTCCAAAAAAAATAGTCTATTTTAAAACCACCACCACCACCCAAGGTCACCACAAGTCAGTTCCATGAGGACAGGGCTTATGTTGTTCACCTCTGCATCCCAGGACCTATGCAAGAGCCTGACATGTCAGTAGGAATATCTGTTGAGTGGGGGATTGCTACCTTGCATGGTATAAAGTGTTTTATGTGTTTGGGTTTCTCTGCTTTATAAGGTCAGTCCAGTTATGTCAGAACAGAAAAAGGCACTAGTAATAATGTAGCCCAAACTGGAAACTGAGGCCCAGGGAGGTCAAATGACTTGCCCAAGGTCACATAGCCATTAAGTGACATCTAGATGTGTGTTCTCTCTACTGCATCACAGGATTCAAGTCTCTAGGTCTCTTTCCTCAGCTGCAAAATGAGTATACTATACGCCTTTTATGGGTCTTAGGAGGATAAAATAACTTTCATGAAGTGTCTAGTGGACGTTTTAATTAATTTATTTATTATTTTTTTTAGTGGACATTTTTAAATAGTGGCCAGTGTTATTCTTGAGATGCTGCTGCTGCTGATACCTGATTTCAATGTCTCTTTCTGCCTTTTCAATCCTCTCTCTTCTTCTGCCATACTCAAGGAACTACAAAAGATCTGCCCTTTCCTTTCCGTTAAAAATATGTCCATCTCGTGCCGGGCGTGGTGGCTCATGCTTGTAATCCCAGCACTTTGGAAGCCGAGGCAGGTGGATCACAAGGTCAGGAGTTCAAGACTAGCCTGGCCAAGATGGTGAAACCCTGTCTCTACAAAAAAATAAAAAATAAAAATAAAAATTAGCCAGGCATGGTGGCGTGCACCTGTAATTCCAGCTGCTCAGGAGGCTGAGGTGGATAATTGCTTTAACTTGGGAAGCGGAGGTTGCGGTGAGCCAAGATCATGCCACTGCACTCCAGCCTGGGTGACAGAGCAAAACTGTCTCAAAAAAGTTTTTCTTATTTAGCTTGGGCACAATGAAACCACTACAGCCATGGTGACTGCAACTTGAGGCCCACCAAGG